TGCTTGCTTGCTTGCTTGCTTGCTTGCTTGCTTGCTTGCTTGCTTGCTTTTGTTTAGGGGGGCAAACTTTCAGTGGAACAGTGTCCAGCAGATTCTCCCTTTTTCAGCGACTTTTGCAAGTAGGTCGGGTTTGCTAAACTCTACAACCGACCATTATTCTCTTCATCCACCCTCATCAGCCCTTGAGAAAATTGAAAAGCTCCCTACACAAGACTCAACTCTCAGAAGGCCAGGCCTCAAGGCATTCCTCGCCACGAGCTGCCAGAGCGCAGGGGTTGGAGGATGCACTGATATAGACTTTCACAATGGCACCTGCAACTGTGTCAGAGTTCTGGAGTGCACACTCCGTGTGGCATCTTGCCGCTCTCCATAGGGCATCGTCATGTGGTGACCCTGTTCCAACTACGGTACTAAGTTGTAGAGAAGGCTTGAACAATCCACTGGAGTGTCTTTGATCTCCAGAACCTATCTGAGTCTGTGACCATGCTTCCATAAACAGCACTGCACCCTCTGAGATTACAACCTGCCTTCATCGGCCCAAGAGTACTTCTCGATGGCCACTAGCGCCTGAGCAGTGGGGGAGGCAAACGGCTTGTGTCTTCCGTGAAGGCGTCTAATGCTCGATGGACAAACATGGGACCTCGCAGGTTTTGTGCTAGTTTCAATCATCTATCTTCTGTCTATATTGATCTATATATATGTTCAAACTAGACCTACGTGGTCAAAGAGGGCCTTCCTGACCCAACCCACGAGCGGCCGCCTCCTTTTCTCCTAGCTGCCCTGAGCCTGAGGTTGCCTGCATCCATACGAACCTGCTTTGCTGGTGTACGGTCGGTTGGCACTGCTTTCAAGCTCCTATAGTATTCTAAAATACGAAGTATGCACACCATCGATCATCCGGACCTGGATTGCTGCAGCGTCTTCGACCACATCTTCATAGATCAGCAGAAAACGATCACTTCTTCTTCTCACGTGTCTCTGAACTCCCGGGATAGCAGCTCGACTTAGCTTTCTCTTCAAAGCCTACTGCTGTCAAGTAGCTGGCCAGATCCTCAAAGCGTCCACCACGATTCTGGCCATGGCTGGCAATCCATCGTAGATAGGGGGCATGCTTTGGATCATCAAGCAACTCCTTGTAGGACAACTTCTGAGCTGCCACCCTCGGGAGAGCACAGATTGCGCTTCCCCAATCCTGGAGATCCGTGACACCTGGTGGCATTGCAAGCCTTCTGATCAGCTGGCTTCACTGGCAGCTGACTTGTGGGCTCTGTCGGACCAACTCGCTCACACATGACAGTCTTGCTGCCGTCATCGTAGTTGATCGGCTCCCAATCATCGGCTTCTGCTTGGGCATGATCCCGGTGCCTCTTCACTGAATCATTCATTGAGCCCGCTGTCTTGGTGTTCACCCCAAAGGCACTGGCCCGAGCCACGATTTCACGCGCAACCGCGGGCTCATCTGGATTCACAGGTGCTTCACGGGACGTCATCTTTTCTGAGATGATCAAGGCACACGACTTCGATCTGAGCGATCACCGCTGAACCGAAAAATTGCACTCAAAACAGAACATGTCATCACGGCTTTACCGTGCTTCCGGCTCTGCTCAAAGCATCATGATTCACACAAATAAGAAAGGACTTCCAAGATTCACTCCCAACAGAAGCGTCCTCCTTCTAGTTAAGTTCATATGGCTATGCAGGTTATAACAAGCTCGGCTCGAAAATTGCATCTAAACAACTTCTTCCGCCTTTGGAAAAATGTGAATGTCACAAAAACGCGTGCTCAATATCCCTGACTTATTGAGTGTTCAAGACAAAAACAAACACATCAAAGGCTCTCACTCCTGACCTTGGCTCGGCTTGGGTTTGCGCTGCTCGGATCTCTGGGAGGCAATGCGTCGCCTTCGTTCTTTCTCTTCACGTCTGCGGTCCATGACCATCTGCTCATCCGCCAACTGGTAGCGAGAGCTCCGGAGAACTGAACGAAGCAAATCGATCGGCTTTGGCCGATCCTTCGTCAAGGCATCTGCGGTCATGTACGTTGTAGGACACCTAGGTTCTAGACCTGTTCTTTGGGTGGATTGGTGGATTTTGGCTACGTCCATGGCTGTCCTCTTGTCATCTACAACCCCTCCACTGCCTAACGAAGTGAGATGGTCATATAGAGATCTACAATCAGTCATACCTATTGGTGACCTACGAAGGAGCACTGTCTCAGCATCTTCTAAATTGAAAGGACCGTCCAAACCCTCAGCTAACATGAGCATCATCCATTCACACACCCCAGATGCTGTGGAGAACGCCTGGGCTTCGCCACGACTCTGGGAAGTCTGTACGATTTCCAAGCAAAACAGTGAACTGGCACGTCTGAACCTAAATGCATTTTACTTGAAGTGAAGGCTACAAGCCACCCTCCCTGAGTACGCAACTCTGTGCTGTTTGCAAAGGCCGCATCGGACCAGAAACACAGGGTCAATTCTTCCAAGGGAATGAAAGGTACCTGAATCTTCAAATCTGATTGCTGTCGGGCTCTTCTTACTACCTGGTTTGCTTGCAACAAATCATGAACTGTGGGATTTGAGCATTGCTGACTGATTGACGTTTGTACGGCCAGGTCTGGCCTCGACTGTGTGCTGAGCCAGCTCAATGCACCGTTCACTGCTCGTAAGGCTGAGATCTCTTGGGGACTCGCGGGAAGCCATGGTTTCTTGACTCTCTCCTTTGAGACCTTGATTGGAGTAATGTGTTCGGCATACTCCTTCTGCTGGAAACTGATTTCCATCGTCCCAGGGTCTTGGCTGTAGATCGTACCTAGAAACTCACGTGTTCCTGACCTCCACTTCCTGAAAGGAAAGCGAACGCAAACGATCAATTGCTTTAGCATATGTTTCTCGTGAACCTCCGGTGATTGTATCGTCGACGTGCGCTCCTAACACCCCTTCCAACCTGTTGTGGTGGTCATAACACAGGTACAGGCAATTGTCGAATTTGCTACGAACGAAACCTGGATTTGCCAATGCCTTTTGTCGAACATCTGCCTCTAGGAACGCCCCTTTTATATCCCCTATAAACGCATTTGCCACTTGTGGCTGACAATCAACTGCAAAATGAGACTGCGTCCAAATTGGGACAGGGTCGGGGAATGGCATTTCCCGGCAAGAACCTTAGTGAACAGGTCTGGGTCATGGTGACCC